TTAAGTGACCTTAGATCGAGATCTGTTGTCTGGGTAGCACGTTGCCAGGTTGGATTTTTTCCATAAAAAGTCTGCAATGCTTTCGTCTTTGCAGTCTCATTTCTAATGCCACTAACTATCAAGTCATTTATTCCGTCCTACAACCTTACCCAATTTCCTTCGTCTAAGTCAGACGAGGAAGTAAGCAATCCGCCGCGTAACAGAGGAAGGATGATACCTCGGTTGTTGACCATAATACATTGGCTTTTAACTTGAGTTGTTGGAGCTCCAAAAGTGCTGTGTGAGAATACCATTTAAGTCCTGATTCCTTATTGTCTTCAAATCTCACAAAGGTATCTCGTTTGGACATCTTGGCTTCATCTCCCATGAGTGTAAGAGTCGTTTGGGGACCTGGATCAAAATGTTTTGACAAAAAATCATGCTGATCTCTCTTGAAAGTCCTGTTTCCCAAGCTTTGATATTCTACATGTGTAGACCATCCTCTTAACGTCACCCCCCCATACTGATCTTGCCCTATCGGTGATAGACCAATTTTCGATTTACCTCCTTTCTTTCGGACTGGAATCAGCAGATTGCCTCTAGGATCCTGTACATAAGTAGCCTGACCCTTTTCTAATGCATGCCGCATTTTTGTTTTTTGCCAAGATTCGGCACCCCCTTCATTATTGGAACAGAGGAACGTTCTTACTTTCCTTCATTCCCATCCTTTGTTGGGGTGAGGTAGGTATTTCATCCTTTATTCTCTCTTCCTTTTCCCCATTATTCCCATCGTACAGTTCTACAGGAGCGGAACTGCACAACTCACTTGTCTCTTCCATAGTTGTGACATTTTCCTCTATTCTGTTTTCAACCATTTCGTTTTTACTGTCGATGTTACCATCCGATGTATGAGGAGGAGTTACACTTTCACTACTATTGGTCACAACCTCCTCCTGTACAGGCACTGCCAGCACTATTGACGTGCAATCCTCTTCTTTAGAATCCCCCTCCTTAGTATATGCCGGGGGCTGAAACATACCGGACACTATGTCCAAGATACGTTGTCTAACTACCGGCCAACAGGCTCCCTCCGGTAATCCTTGATGTATCACTTGATTGAGACGGGGACTACTGTTTAATAAATTGAAAAATTGAACATATGATTTGTCCCAGAACTCAACAGTGGCCTCCCCACATCGTATCTTGAGATTCTTAATTAACCATTCAGCCAATTGTTTCAGCATGTGCTCCTCTGTGAAAGCCGAGTCAGATTGAATGATAGCCTCCTCCATTTCAAAATCCTGTGTATGAGAAGAGGAATCTACCTCCATTGGGGCTGGTCGAAAGCATCTTGAAACAGATCAGAAACTTCTTCCTTCAGAACCTCTTGTTCCCTTCTAGGAGATTCCTCTTCCACAGCCTGTAGTCGTGCGCCTTCTACTGTTTTTTGTTGTTGTGATTCGGGAGGATCAAACTCTTTGTGCGGGCTCGTGGTTTCTTTCCTTTTCCTTTTTCTCCTTTTTTTCCCCCCCCCTGGCCCATCTCCTCTAACTGCCCTTGAGAGCTTCTTAAGTGTAGATCCTTGTTCCACCCTTTCCTCACTCTCCTCAGATTCTGAATCTGAGTCCTCCCTTTTGTTAATTGAAAATTGAGATCCCTTTTCCCCTTGGCTTATGTAATCTACTGGTCATGGTCTAGGTAGTACAACTTTTCCTACATTTTCCTTTTCCCCACGTTTAAGCATCAGCCTCCACTGTTGTTGACCTAGAGTCCCCTTCCCCTTGTCATTGAGACCTGAGACTCCTTTCCCAACCTTGTGGGAGACCAGCCCATTACCCCCAATAGATAAGGACTCTTGAGAATCAGTGGGAGACGGTTTTGTGTTCTGACCTGTCACTGGAGACTTTTCTGCTTGTGTAATCCCAGGTGATGCTTCTTAGGGTAACCAACCATCAAGAGGTTTAGTATCCCAATTTGGGTCTCCCTGTCGCTCCCATATCCATCCTTCTGGGGCTTCCCCTTTCTTAGTACTCTCTACATAGACCCACCCCCCACTGTAGACTCATCTATCCCACTGCGCCCCCCATCGGAATTCCCAGACCCATTTCCCCCCCCTGCTCTAGCTCTGGTCCCCTTGAGTTGGTATGGCTACGATTGAAAGGGAGATATCTGACTGGGCTGGTTTCCTTCTGAGTGTCTTTTTAAGGTTTCTTCTAAGGTCTGCTGCAGGTGGATGCAACAGGAGATCTACTATGGTCTTCTGCAAGTGATGTTGGCAAAGCAGTAGTATTGTCCACTCAAGTCATCACCTTTGTTCAGTGTCGATTATCCAAATTAGTACCAGGGTTGATCGGAGAAATCTGGCGCCACTCAGATGAGGGTGAAGAGGTACAAGGGACGCCGGGCCCGTTTCCCAGCATTTTCGGTCACAATTGTTCAGCAATATATGTCAAGGGACGCTGGACCCATTTTCCAGCAGGTGCAGCTCCCCACCAATAGCGGAGCCCAGTGTTGCCGGGTTCCCACTTTGCGGGCCACCAGACCAATTACCTCGTTGACTCCGGACCCAGGGCCTAGGGGCCTCACAGTAAGTCTCTGGTAAGCACATCACAATGATCACAGCGATGATTAACATAAATACAGAGAAGACATGTTGTTGCTCCCTGCCTTCCTTGCCCTGTCTGCTCTTGGCATCCCCACCTGCACCTTGCGTTTCGCAAAGGCCCAGTTCAATTGCATTCCTATAGACACAATCAGAGACAGTGGAAGTCAACTATGAAAGTCGATGATCCTCTTTGCATCACAGGTTATGGTCCCTGGAATAGTGAAATTCAATTAACAAACACAGTTTGAACCACCGCTACCTCCGAGCCGCCTTTTGCCGAGGCACCAGCACGACACTTTTTTTTTCACTTTTGGCTGGCGCCGCCACCCATTCAGTAGCCCGGAACCTTCGAACAAGCCAGAATGTTACATTTCCGAAACAATGCTGAGCTAGGAAGATTTTCATGACTGGCCGGTCACCCGGATGTGACGCCCGGGATCCCTGGGCATGGGGAAAGAAATTAAAAATAAAAATAAAAAATGGCAGTGGGGTTTTTCCACACTCTCCAAGAGGAGCCCAAATCCGGGCTCTTTTCTTTTTTGAGAGTTGCATGTCAAGGGGGGGGAAGGGGAGTATAAATGGATTTTAAAGGGGCTAAAGGGGCTTAAACTTTAAAGGGGGGTGCCTTAGTGTGATTTGGTTTTGTTTTTTTTTTATCTTCAGTTCTGTGAGGAATTCTGATGTGACCCTCAGCCAAAAGTTGTTTGTATCGTAATTCTACACAACATTGTTTTTTTCAGATTTGTTTTGGAGGTTCTTTTTTTTTTTTTTTTTTTTCCTTTTTTTTTTTTTGTGCTGGGGCTGCCCAGGCCCATGCCCGGCAGGTCACCTGGTCGCCAAACCGGGCGTGACGTCGGGACCCGGGCGCCTGGGATATCTCCCTAGATGCTGAGCATTTATTTCATGGCTAAGAACTTAAGAAGTGCCCAAATTGTTGTTGGTGTTTTTTTTTTTTTTTAAMAAAMAAMAAAMAAAMAAAAAAAAAAAAAAACTTTTCTTAAAAAAAAAAAAAAACACAACCGCTGTTATAGTGTATAAGATAAGATATTTACCAACGGGTTTGGCTATAATGGAATGGTCGCCTTTTTTGTATTAAAAATAAAATAAAATCCAATGGGTCCAGCTCAGTTGGTACACGCATGAATTGTTGAAATACAGACTCAAGCTCGAATCCACATGCAATCAGACGAGCAGAATTATGAATTACCTTGGCCTCGTCAGTTCAATCATGATGTCTAGAGACCGTCCCCTTTTCAAATAAGGAAGTGTATAATATATGTACAAAAACTGTGTCATGCTTGCTGGGGATAAGTAACCGGACTGATGCCCCCCCAGAAAACCTTCGTTGGAGGCTTGAGCACGGATGTGGCTGCTACGGGGTTCCCCGTAATACTATAATGACAATAAAAAGAAGGGCCTGAAAGGCCGTCCTGTCCAGATTTGACAGGTAATTGAATTGGTTGGGCTTAAAGAATTAGCCTTGTGGTTTAGAAAAGGGAAAAAAAAAAAAAAAAAAAACTCCCGGCGTGGATAACGGTCTGCAGATGGGAAACGATGTAATTGCGGAGTCGGAAATATGAACGTGGAAACCTGGCGCAGACTTCAAAAAAGAAGAGAAAAGGCGCAGATGTGGTAATGGGTTCTTACTACATGGGGCCAGATCCCACTGGCAAAGAGGATTGGAACAAGTGTCTGAATTTGGACGTGTTTGTGGAGAGGTGCAAAGAATTGTGATTGAACTGCTTTTCTGCATCTCTGTGTGGAACACGTCTAGATTCAGCCGCTTATTCCAATCCTCTTTGCCAGTGGGATCTGGCCCTTAGTTACTTCTTACTACTTTGTAAGTTTGTAACAATTGTCAGCCTTCTGAATGACAGTCATCAGCTTTTTTTTTTTTTTTTTTTTTTTTTTAAGTGATGTAGCCCCTAAAATTATTGAATCTACCATGAGTTTATTGAACTCGTGACCGGTTTGATCAATGGTCAGGGGCGAGGTGCGACTAGCAAGTAGGATTGGATTTAACGCCTGAATCTGGACATGTTTGTGGAGAGGTGCAGAAAACCATGATAGGTCCACGTCTCTGCACCTCTGCATAAAACCCATCCAGATTCAGGCGCTTAATCCAATCCTCTTTGCCGGTGAGACCTTGGCCCTGCTGTGTACCATACAGGCACAGTTGTCAGCTTCAGTGATTACCATCCACGTAAAAGTTTAACTTACCAAGAGTGCTCACTATTGCTGGTTTCTTTTGTCTGTGGTGACTCTGGTGAGTGTGTTTTTTTTTTTTTTTTTTTTTTTTTTTTTTTTTTTGTTGAACAGGTTCTTATGACCCGAGCTCCATGTCCATTCTGTGGTGGCCAGATAATTAATATTTATTATTTATTGATATTTTGCTTTCTGATTTTTGTGACTGCAGGGAGATTCAGGCAAGTGTTGGTGAACCTCATAGGTGAGGCCAAAAACTCCCAGAATCACATTCACACTCACTGGGCCCGAGGCTTGCTCCACTACTCACCAAATGAGCAAAACGAGAATGAATCTTCCCCTAGAACATGGGAAGATACGTTGCCATCTTTTTTGTCTTTTGTGAAGCGAGGCCTTTTTTTTTTTTTTTTGGACCGTTTCTCGATTATTTCATGTCATCCATTCGCAGAGGTTATGCTGATCTTCTCTTCATCACTTCAATTTTAACGGATGTCCAAATTTTGACAGATGTCCCAATTTTTCAGTTGAATGAGCCGAAATGCATCCAAGTTGACCGAGCAAGGATGCATTTTCTGCTATCAATACGCTTAGAAACTTTTTATTTTTATTTTTATTTTTTAAATTTATTTATGGAGTGATCATGCTTAGAAACTACCTTCTTACCTTGTTCCCCGAATACAACGTACGGTCATTATAGCTGTATTTGGGGTATCATTCAGTCTATATACAGATATAATGACCGTACGCTGTATTCGGGGGAAGAAGGTAGGCTACAAGAGTGGCCCAAGAACGCTTCCCTGGCCGGGCCAAAAAGAAATTGAAAAAAAGATATAAAAAATTGTTCTCTTTTTTTTTGGGTAAAGTACTAAAGATTTTTTTATTATTATTAATAACTATGCTATATTCTTCTCTCAAATCTTTCATCATCTTTCAAATTCTTTCAAATTCTTTCAATTCACCTTCACTACCTACCTACCACTACTCCGAAGACTTTATACAGGGGACCCCTGACAAACATAGCTTTTGTTGTCTCCCTCCAGCCATCAGAGGGGATGCATGTTGAACCCGGCCCCAACCGTGGTGGTCAAGGATGGGGTGGGGCCGCCTGTGGGGGTCCGGCTAACGCAAAGACCGAGCATTTTGCCAGTAGCTGCACCTCCCTTTTCATCGTCCCCCACCACAACCGAATAACAGCAGTGTCTAAGGCCAACACTCTCCCACACACCACACGCAACCCACTCGCACTCTCACTCACATCCGTGTTGGCCAAGGACCCATTAATACCGATCAGAGGTATCAAGCGGACTATCACTAAGTGCGCCGCAGGCGGTTACGGGGCTCGGACCCACAACCCCCTGAATGCCACGTGTATGCCTAACCAACTGAGCTAGGCCGACCCTTAGGCAAAAGTTGTTCAGCTTATTTTTCTGCATAACGTACTTTCTTTCTGGATTTTTGTTTTTTTTTGCAGGGACCTTCCCTGGCCCTTGCGTTGTGGGGCCACCCGGGCAACCAAGGTGGCTTGGGCAGCCCAGTTGGTAGCCCTAATGCTTGATGAATAACGACTCGTTTTTTTTCCTCCTTTCTTTTTTTGGGGGGGGTGGGGGGGGGGGGGTGAAATGAGCAGGAAATGCATCGAAGTTTACGGAGCAAGGGCACATTCTGCTATCAATACGCTTAGCGGAAGCGAATGAAGTAATCGAAGATCCGCCGTCATCTCCGAGAGTCCCTATCACGGGGAGCACCCGGCCAGCCGGGTCCCTACCAGGGTCGGGGGCCATGCTGAAGTCGATCGGAAAGGCGTGGTCGGGGTTGGTCAGAAAGTCGGGGCTTATGCAGCAGTCGGGTTCTTTGTCGATGTCGGGAGCGGTGGGGAAATCCGGGGCCTTGCCAACATCAGGCATGGTTGGGAAATCGGGCGCCTTGCCAGCATCAGGCATGGTCGGGAAATCGGGCGCCTTGCCCAGGTCAGGTATGGTGGGGAAATCGGGCGCCTTGCCCAGGTCGGGTATGGTCGGGAAATCGGGCGCCTTGTCCAGGTCCAGCATGATCGGCAGGTCGGGGGCGTTGGCGGGTTCAGGAATGGTCGGAAAATCGGGAATCGTCCCGGGCTCAGGGGTTGTGTCCAGATCTGGTGTGCTGCCTAAGTCCGAAGTAATCAGACGGACAGGATCGATGGGGCACTCTCAGGTGCCGTTGTCAGGAGCCCTGGGCAAACCGGGTGGTCTGCGACAGTCAGGGTCATTCCAAGGCATGAGGAGAATCATACAAAATAAATCCGGCCAGTTTTTTGATTTCCGACGCGATAGCGGCAGGATGAACCCAGACGGTGGACCGCTTGAACCAACATTCATTCATAGCACTTTGACGGGCAAGCTTGCCGCCGACCATTCACACAGCTTTTCTGAAATCTCAAGGTGGTTGCAGAGTCCAGCACCGGAAGAGTATGCGAGCAATGAAGCACAAACGAAGACGGAAAGTAAGTTGAAGTCCGGAGGATTATGGGAAGGGAAATCGGGAGCATCCATACTAAAGTCAGGAGCATCAGTAGGAGGCGAACTGCAAAAGGACCCTCCGCAAAAGCCACGCATTCGGCTTATTGTATCAATAGAAGACACAGGAGCAGGTGAGCAGACCACAAGTTCAATTCACCACTTCTTTATTGAAGGGGTTGGCCCCATGTATTCATTATTGAAGGGGGTGGCCCCCTGTATTCATGGTACGGTGGACCCCGTTTCCGGCAGGTGAGGCTCCCCACCAACAGATGGAGTGGCCCACTAGGCAAAGCCTCAATTCCGGTGGTTCTCTTACCACCACTGGGATAGAGGCCTTGCACAAGGCCTTTTAAAAAAAACAAAAAAAGCACAGGACTTGAACCCATGACCTGCTGCTTCACATTTTACATGTGTCCGTACTGTTCGGCCACATGGCAAGACACAGGAGCAGCCGAGTAATGGCCGCGGAATTTTGTATGCCTTGATGTGTTTGGGATGCTGGACCCGGTTTCCAGCAGGTGTGACGCCCCACCAATAGACTGGAGCATCCAGCGGGCAGTTGCTAGGTGTGGGTGCTCGTATCACCCTTTCTAGCACCCAGACCCTGGTTTAAAAAAAAAAAAAAAAAAGAGACAGGAGCAAGTGAGCAGAGCCCAAGTCCAATTCCGGGAGGTTACCCTAAGCGTATTCTAAGCACAGGACTCGAACCCATGGCCTGCTGATTCACATTGTACATGTGTCAGTACTGTGCAGGCCACATGGGCAAGACACAGGAGCAGTGAGCAGAGTGCAAGCCCAATTCACCACTTCTTTATTGAAGAGGGGACATCCCCCAAAGCTTATTGAACGCAAAGGACTTGAACCCATGACCTGTTGCTTCGCATTTAAATGTGTGAGTACCATTATTTCAGCACATGGGCTGGGTAGCCCGATCCACTATTTACAAATGAGCAAGGGTTCTGTTTTTTTAACAGTATCTTCTCTGACTGAACCTCCCTGCCAGGGGATGCAGTGTCGCCTGAGGCCAGGTCCCACTAGCAGAGAGGATTGGATTAACCGCCTGAATCTGGACTTGTTTGTGGACGTGTGCAAAAATTTGTGATTGACCTGTGCTTTTCTGCACCTCTCCACAAACACGTCCAGATTCAAGCTTTAAATCCTGTCCTCTTTGCTAGCGGGACCTGAATTTTCCCTGGCAGGGATTATAGTGTTGCCTGAGCCAGTGAGAGAATTCAAAGTACAAAGGAGTTGTAGTCAACGCAAAGTAAGCTTACGAGTACACATGTCAAACCTGGACAAACGACTTGGTTGACGTGTGTACTTGTGGTGCACTTTGTGCCAGCAGAGAGGATTGGATTAACCGCCTGAATCTGGACGTGTTTGTGGACGCGTGCAAAAAATTGCGATTGACCTTTGCTTTCCTGCACCTCTCCACAAACACGTCCAGATTCAAGCTTTAAATTCTATCCTCTTTGCTAGTGGGACCTGGCCCCCGAACTTTCCCTGGCAGGGAATAGTGTTTCCCAAGCCAGTGAGAGAATTCAAAGTACAAAGGAGTTGTAGTCAGTGCAAACTGTGCTTACAAATACACACGTCAACCTGCACAGTAAGAGGTTGAAGGTTATGGGTTCAAGTCCTATACGAGTACATTCGTACTTTTTTACCATGTAGTTTTGCTGTGATAAGTAATCCTCCACTACATTGTTTTCAAGTTCAAGTCTACACACGACAACCAGTACAAACGACTTGGTTGAGGTGTGTACTTGTAGCGTACTTTGCGCTGACAACAACTCATTTGTACTTTGAACTCTGCAACTGTGCTCAGCTGGCTTTATTCTCCAGGGAGGAGGTCCACCGACGAAGAGGACTGGACTTAACGCCTGAATCTGGTCCTGTTCGGGGACAGGTGCAGAAAATTGTGAGTGATCATATTTTCTGCATATCTGCATAAAACACATCTAGATTCAGTTGTCTCATTCAATCCTCTTTGCTAGTGGAACTGCATGCCAGGTCTCTTTCCTTCTTTTCTTTGCGAAACAGACAGGCGTTGAAACCTCGGGGGCCGTCGCTCCACTACTCTCCACATGCACAAAAGATGAACAATATCTCGGTGTATTTTCCCATGTTCTAGTGGAAGATTCATTCTCATTTTGCACATCTGGTGAGTAGTGGAGCGAGGCCCTTAGTTCTGGTTTCAAGCATTTTGCAACGTGTTCACACTGTGGCTGTGAGGTTTCGAGATCGGATGGCAGAGACCCATGGATGCTTGAAACCAGAAATAAACCTCATCTAGTGGGGCATGGGTCTTGGAACAGTCCGAACACGTTGTTGTTGTTTCCCCCCCTCTTTTTTTTTCCTTCTTTTTCCCTTTTTTTTGTGGGTTGGGTGGGGGCACAGGCCCACGAACAAGTGGTTTGTGATGACAAGGGCCGGTGACCTCATTAATCGGCATTGTGGTGACAAGCGGTGGTCCAGGAATTTTTTCCAACTGAATACAGAACCCTGCCATTTGTCACAGCACCAGATCACACCAGATTACGGCTGCGACTCTGAGCAGATATCCAACAGCTGATCTCAAACAAGTATTTTTTATACTTCAAAAGAAAAGGGGCAACTTCAGTAGAGTCCCGAAAACGAGTTATAATTGCACTATGGGGCAAGATACAGTTTGCAATTGCACTTGCGGCACACTACCTGGGCAGAAACCTGGGTTGTATACATTGCCCAAAGTTCCAAACTGCAATTTGAAACTGCATCTTGGCCCGTAGTGCAATGATAACTCATTTTTGTCAAATTTTGTGACTCCCACGTAGTTTCCCCTTAAAATAAATTTAAAATTAAATTGATATTAATTAAAATAAATTCAAAATAATTTAAAATAAATTTGTTTACTAAAATCATAAAATGAACTACAGAAGACAGGTGTGAGCAGGTATACAGTGCTATACACTTAGCCTTATCCTTCCTCTTCTTCTTCTTCTTCTTCACATCTAACGTCTTACCAGCCTCTTCTTTTTCTTCTTCTTGTTTTTCTTCTTCGTCTTCTTCTTCTTCTTCTTCTTCTTCTTCTTCTTCTTCTTCTTCTTCTTCCTCCTCCTGTTCTTCTTCTTCTTCTTATAGGAATCATCTTAAACAGGTTCTTCTGACTTTGTGCTGCAGGCATTCCCTATCAAACAATTTTATTTCATTTTTTTAAGTAAATCTCATACTTGCGGCGCATCCCGTGCACGGGGTCACGGCACATGCGGCGCAGAGCGCACGCGCACGCGTGCGCCCTCACGTGATGCAGCGCATCACCAAAAAAAATAATAAAAAAAATTGAAAGGACAGGGTGGGGTGGCCATACATGCCCCTTGCTTCCGAAAATCAAACTGGAAGAGTGAAAACAGTTGAGCACATGTGTGTGCGTGTGGGTGTGCATGTCCTAATTGTGTCCAGTCTCATTTCCGAAGGGGCCCTACGAATTAGCAAGGACCCCTCGTGGAGCAGAGATGGACATTAGACTTCTAGTTTGTCTGCTTGGGCTGAGAATATATAGTCTGGATTCAAATTCAGGTCTGTGCATCATAGTTATGGGTCACTAATTCTCTGTTTTCTCGTTTTTCTTTTGTTCCTGGTTTTTCTTTTGTTTTCTCGTTTGTCTTTTGTTTTCTCGTTTTTCTTTTCTTAGGAATATGTGCAGTGGCCCTAAGGGCCTCTACTCACCGCATGCACAAAAGACAAAACATATGGCGGCGTATTATTCCACGTTCTAGCCGAAGGTTCATTCTAATTCTGCACATTCGCAGTTGCCCTAAGGGCATCTACTCACCACATGCACAAAAGACAAAACATATGGCAGCGTATTATTCCACGTTCTAGCAGAAGATTCATTCTAATTCTGCACATTTGGTGAGTACTGCAGCCAAGCCCTGAGAATCATGTGCAGAGACCAACAGGGCCTAGCGAAGTGAGCAACCCATAACTGCTGAAACACAGACCTGAATACGAATCCTGAGTATATATTCAGCCAGCTCG